AAGCAGCTAAAGGAACACTCCCTTGGCTCCTAGTAGATTGGGAGCTAGGCCAGGTGAGGAAAATGGATTCAGACTTGGGCCAGGATAGGCTCTTCTGAGATTCTACCAGCTGAAGATTGGACTAGTGCTCTTTATAAACAACTTTCCCAAGAACAACAGAAGAAGCAATTTGTTTATGGACCATTTACCAAAAGAATTTAGATTCTCTGCCTTGAACCATTTGAAGGTAGCCAAGCCTAAAAGGAGATCACCCTGGAGCAGTCCGAGGGACAGTAGCCATTACGAAAGCAGTCCAGAGGATGAAAGATGAGAGCTGACAGTCACAAGTCTCTGGTGTAGATCACTGGATCTGTCCAGGTTTACACACATGGCCATGACATCTCACTGCTGAATATGCACAGGATTCTGCTCCATGGCAGGTCACAAAGGGACCTCATGGTGTTTTGAAGAATAGGAATAGGAGGTGTTTCCAGCCCTCAACAGCCTCTAAGTATCTCTGTGAATGCTGTTGCCTGTAGCACTTGGAAACCAGATGCTACCCCCAGGCCCAATGTCCCCATAGCCTCCTCTGTCACTGACTTTCCTTTCTACCCCCAGGAGGGAAAACAGAGTTAATGTGCTCCTTATAGTCATTTGTGGTTGGGGTCAGCTGGTTGGTTCCCTTCCACTCTGAGCCGTTGGCAGGTTTGGAAGAACAGAGACCTTGTCTTCGGATTTCCCTCAGGGCCCAGGCATGGACAGCATCATGGCTCCAATGTCCCTTTCCTTGAGTGCATTTGAGTTTCCTTCTTGCAAGAGTCATTGAGCTTGCCAATGCCCCACTTGAACCAATGTCTGAACTGCTACAATTACCTTTAACGTGTTTATATATTTTAAGGAAAATCAGTGCCCCCACTGGTAAGGGAAAAATGCTCTTTCTTATTTGAAAGGTGAGAACCTAAAATTGAATTGGCAGCTTTTAAGTCTCCAAGGAAATTTGAGGTTGAAGAATTTCAGCCTTCAGTGACCTTGGCTTTTGAGGTTTTGATTTAATTTTGGCAGCCAGGTAGTTAGCAGAAGGGACGGGGGTGTCACCTCAAGAACACTGGCCTTTATTCATTCCTTTTCTTGTTTTGTTTCTTGAGTCACCCATTCGGAAATTATTCACTCAGCACAGAGCTCGGGAGGAGCCACAAAGTTATTTGCTGAAATAGGAGAGCAAACTACCACAGTTACTGAACTCACCCACAGGCCTTTCTCATGGTAGAAAGGGAAGTGGACAGTACATTCGCTTCAGTAAACTTGACAGGAATTACAGGGTGGGACCTTGGCTTCTCAAATCGGCTGGAAACTCATCAGAGCAAGTATGTAAATGCATAGTGCAGCCATCTTGCCTGGACACTCCCCCCAGATAACCTGTCTGTGACTTGTGATGTGCCGGGGAAGTAAAATGGTTATAGACCCCATAGGAAGCAATGACAGTGCTTAAAACTAAAACAGACCGAAAAATGGCTTCGTGTGGACAGCGAGCTGGGGTCTCTAAAGCCTGGAAAATAACCCTGGAAAATAACCACAAAGGAGTCTCCTTAGTCCTCATGTACCTCACATCTCTTACCTCCTTCACAGGCCACATGTGCAGTCCCATATTTGGGTGCAGTACAGCATGAGAGATGGTGACTGTGGAGCTTGGGTTCAGGCAGACCTGGGTTGGATCCAGACTCTGCCACTTGCTGATTATAAAACCTTGAGTGGCCAGGCATGGTGGCGCACGCCTTTAATTCCAGCACTCGGGAGGCAGAGATAGGCGATGTCTGTGAGTTCAAGGCCAGCCTGGCCTACATAGTGAGTTACATAGTGAGTTCCAGGACAGCTGGGGCTACAGGGAGACCCTGTCTCAAAAAAAAAACAAAACAAAAACCATGAGTGAGTCTGTGCCTTCTTAGAGCTTCTGCAGCTGTCTTGCAGAACAGAGAACATTCCACTTCCCAGCTACCTGATGTGGCTGTAAGGATCAGATGAGATCCTGCAGATATATGTCTGTCTGTCTGTGAGAGATGTATAGTGAATGTGTAATGAGGGAATGCCATCCTTCTTACCAGTCTGATTAGGCAATCACTGATGGATTCTCTCAACTTTCCGAGTTCTTGTGGGTACCTCTCTGGCTTGTTTCTGGCTGATGATGTCTTCCATGAGCTGTTCTGTAGATCATTGGCATGGCTTCCCAATTGAGGAAGGTCCTGGTTAGATGTGTAGTGCCCTTGTGTGCCTGCTTTACAGCACACCCTTCGTCACCAGGGTCAACTGAGCAGGATGGCTGCCCATTCTGTCCTTTTGCTCTGTCTAGCTGGATACCTTTGGAGTTGGGGGTCAGTGAAGAGGTCAAGTTTTCAGAAGGTACAGGACTAAGGGCATCAACCAACCAGTCATTCAGAGAGGCAAACAAATAGTATTTTGAGAGAAGCTGGCCATGTGCCAGTTACTGAACCAAGCTCTAGGATTTTGACTATGACAGACCATATCCTTCCTTCACTGGGCTCAGATCTCATGAAAAGATAATATCTGGAGCTCCAGTTTCTTTCTGCTCCCACCCACCCCCTCCAAGATCACATGTGTGGGACTGCAACCTTTAGGCAAGAAAAGCTAAACTTAGGGCATGGGTTCCTCTAAGCAGCCAGATCCTCCTTCAGCTGTCACCCACATCCTCACCCAGCATATGTTGCTTGTTGATCATACTTCTACCTCAGGACAGCGCTCCAGGCAGAAGACACTACCAGACATCCAGGTGGCAAGTGAGACGTGAATTCTTGCCACAAGTGCTGTAAACTGTGTTTGCAGGGTTTTGCCTAAGGAATCAGAATCCTAAATTTCGAGTATCACATTATAGCCAAGTAGCTTCCAGCTAATTGCTAGTCTCTGCTGACCTTAGTTTATTTACCTGTACAATAGGAACTATTCCTTGCTATACCTGCCTCAAAAAGTTACCATATTAGGAGGATGTATAGGCACACACCGATAGCCCTAGCTGTTTGGGAGTCTGAAGTTGGGAGGATTGCTTGAGGCCCAGAATTTGAGTCCAGCCTAAGCAACATAGTTAGACTGTGTCAGACACATGAGTGTGTACATACACACATGTATACACTCACACACACACACACACACTCACCATATAAGCCAATGAATTGGTTTCTCTAACATCTTGGTGCTGTTTTTAACTGTACCTGCATGATCAATCAATAAGGATCAGTCTCTGTACACATAAAGCATCCTCAGACACAAGTGTGCGTGAAGTGCCTGTCAGCATCTTCTTCAGTATACCTCCCTCCCCCAGAGACTCAGTGTGGAATATTTGACCTCTGAGTGTGAACATTATCCAAGAATGGCTGACTCTGCATCCCTAAGAGGTGTGTATGTATGTGTGTATACTCCTGGTCTTAACATCTCTGATCATTCCTTATCCTATAACCCATACCACTTCTGTGGAAAAGCTTAGGGGACCTGCATCCCCACTGCTCTGGAGGCCTGTGCTCATCTTTGGGAGTATAAATATCTAGATAGCTGGCTTTGTAAAAAGAAAGCCCAGTCCATTTCCCATCTTCCTCTGACACTTTTATTCACCTTATTAAAGTGCCTGTTTCTCTGGGAACACCACCGTCACCATGTTTCCAGAATCCTCTGGCCCACTCTGCTACAAGGTGTATTGCTGTAGGAACTGGAGATAGAGCTCAATGGTGAAGCACTTGCTTATTATGCATAAGACCCTGGGTTTGATGCTCAGTACAAGAAAAGAAAATATAATTAGATTTATTCCCCTCTCTTTGAGGTTGATGTCACCACCACCCTGCCATCCCAACCTTGGAGTTAAGAAAGAGAGATTCAGAGGAGTGAAGTGACTTTCTCTAAGATCTGCAAATTGCATTTGCTGTGTTTCTCTGTTGTATGAGTGTGAGTTCTTAACCATGGGAGTTGCTGACCCATGTGTTCCTTTCCTGGAAGCAAACACAGAGCTTGGCCCATAGTAGAGATCCGTTCAACAAGCCTTTGTTAAAGTGATTGTGGATAGTTATGATTGCTGTCCAATCTCTGTCTTTGTTCAGACTCAGAATTCTGATAGAGAAGGAGGTGGTGGACTGGTTTGGATGTTACACACTTCAGATGTTTCCAGACGGTCCCATAACGTCATGCTAGTGCCTCTGGGTTTTTGGTAGTTTTCTGTCAAATAACATTGGTGCACTTGGCAAGTCACAACTTTGAGAAGGACCCAAGGAACACTTGACTGGTTGTCTGAGCCAGGGATGCAAAAGAGAGATGACTATATCTTTGATGTGCTTTATTGTGGTTTAGAGATAGAATTACTTTTTTTTTGTTGTTTTATAAAGGAGGAAATTTTTTCTGCCTCTAATTTTATAAGCTGCTGTGGTTATTATCTAAATTAATTTCAAATATATGTGGTTCAAAAGTGGTTTTTCTAAGTCTGAATGTGTGTGTGTGTGTGTGTGTGTGTGTGTGTGATGCTGGGGGTCAAATCCAGGGTGTTGCCCATGCTAGGCAAGTGTTTTACCACTAAGCTATATCCCCAGTTTTTATGGCTACTCAGTGGGAAGTCTGAAGACAATGTCTAATGGTCTTTCCGGCATTGTGGCTTTTTGATTATATCAGGACCCTGTAAGGTTTAGACCAGATACTTCCAAGGGAATTAGATTTTCTTTCTAGTCCATTCTCTTCTTCCAAGTCACTCAGAAGCGGACCCTAGTATCTAAATTTCTAAATGTTATATGGAGGCATTTAGGAGGGGAAAAAAAGAAATATAAAAGAGGCTATAGCAGCCAAAATAATAATAACGCAAACTTATTGAGCTTATTAGTTCCCATAGTTCCTAGACCCTTTCCACCTTGGTTAAAGCTTTCGGGCAGCATGGTAGACATGATAAGGATTTATGTGCTGTTTAGTTACTTGCTTTCTTTTCTTAATCAGAGTCTCAATCCTGTTTACATTTGAACTTCGTTTTCTCGTTTGTCCTGCAGCGGAAACGGAAGCAGAGTGCCCAGGATGAAGATGCCGTCAGCCTGTGCAGTCTTGACATAAGTGTGAGTTCAGTCTTTTCTGTCTCCCATCGTGCTCCTGCCCACCACAAGGGCATCGCTCTTCTCTGAGTATTTTTTGTCACTATGCCTGTGCTTAAAGTGGGTTTCCACCATCTGGCTGTGGGTCTGTGACCTGGAAGAAATCTTAAAAATGTTTTCATTTTACTGAAGAAAGTTGTGTAGCCCACCTGAACTTCCAAGCCAACTTGTTTATTGCCTCTGGCTTTTCTCTCATACAAAGAATTATAAACTTGGGCATCTGGGCAGAATCTAGATAAATCCCACCATGCCATTTGAGAGACTGGTTCTAGATGATGGAGCAGATGTTTTTCCCTTTTGGTAGGGGAGGAAGTTAGTGGTTTGGCACAATCAGCAGCTGGATAGCCCAAAGGTTGGAGGAAGACTCCTGTGTGCAGAGTGGCTCTGGGTTCAGCAGATCTTAGGTTAAGTCAAGATTATGTACTTAGCATTTATGTGGCGTGATTCCACGTCTGGAAACTAAGGCCAAAAAGACTTCACCTAACAGTTTTTTGTGTGTGTTTTGAATAAAACAATAAAAATGAGAATACTAAGCACAGTACCTAGTACTTACTAAGCACCCAGCAAACATTAGCCTCATTGTAATTTTCTTTAAAAGCAAAAGTTTGCAAAACGGACTCAATGATTTGCTGACTGAATGCCGGTGAGACAGAGGTGTGCAGCTTCCTCAGGTTTCCCAGATGTTTTATCGGCGACTTCCTGTGCATGGGCTCTGGTCTCCTCACGATTCAGTTGAGAAGCCTCCCAGGGCATGTGCTGCCCCCTCTTTTCAGACTGGAGACTGGGGTGGAAACAGAGGCCTTCCTGGGTTCTTCCTGTTCCTGGCTCTTCCTCTTAGATACTTCCTTGGAGTTTACCCATCATGCACTGCAAATTCATGTCATATTAGGCCTTGTGGTGTCTCTTACAGAGATCAGGAAAGAAAACATTCTCCTGTACTTAAGAATGGGGCCTTGGGGGCTAGAGAGATGGCTCAGAGGTTAAGAACACTGACTGTTCTTGCAGAAGACCTGGGTTTGAATCCCAGCACCCACGTGGCAACTAACAACTGTTGGTAACTACAGTTCCAGGGGATCCGACGGCCTCTTCTGTCCTCCATGGGCGTTGCACGTCACGGGTGCACTTACCTACATGCAGGCAATACACGCGTACACATAAAATAAAAATAATAAAATATTAAGAAGAAGAA